GGAGGTGGGCTTTGAGGTTTCAAAAGCCAAAGCCAAGACCAGTGGCTTTCTCTTCTTTCTGCCTATAGATCCAGATATAGAATGCTCAGATACTTCTCCAGCATCATGTCTGCCTTCATGCTACCATGATCCCCACCATGATGATAATAAACTAAACCTCTGAAACTGCAAGCCAGTCCAAATTAAATGCTTTCTCTTATAAGAGTTGCTTTGGTCATGGTGTCTTTTCATAGCAAAAAATAATCCTAAATAAGACAGAAGATTATTACCTATTTCCTTGTACTAGAAATCTGGTTTCTTTTTGTTGACAGAAGCATCTCAAACCACAGTGGCTCTTTAGATTAAGTGACTGTTCCTTGCTCAATGTAATTAACTCACTCACCCAGACCCACTGGGTTGAGGGGTTGCTTTTGTTCTCATTGTTCCCTTTTGTTTGCAGGGTAAAGATCTCACCCAGGGCCTTGAGCTCTCTGAACAGGTGTACTCACGCTGAGTGACATCTCCAATCTTGGATTATGGTTTTACATGTGAACGAATATAGCCTTGGCATGACATTCCAACAAGAAACCAAGACAAGTCTGATGGTGCCATGGGATCCTCTTTGGCAGACCACAAAGAGGCACTTTCCCTCTATCCCTGATGCTTTTCTGTGGCCAGTGTGTTATGTCTGGATCTTTCTCAATGCCCACACCAGTAGCCCCAAGAACACCTACTCTTGGGTTTTCCCTCTCAGCCTGAACCCACTGTGGACTCATCAGTATTCCAGGAGAAGTTTGCTTTCCTTTTCTTCCCTTCCCTCAATCCTTTTAATCCTCTGGTTCAGGCAATTAGCTCTACAAATATTAGCTGCAATCAAGGTCTAGCACATGTGGTAATTTTCCCTCTAATAAATCAATCAATTCTTTCTATGAAGTGTTTTTCCCCTTTATAGTCATTAGAGAATTACAATGCGACTTGAAGATCACCAGCAACTTGAATTAGTCAAGGAATGTCAATCAAACTTGCTAGAGTTTGCTTTAAAGATGAGAAAAATGGGATAGATTTACAAAGTCCTGTCTTAGAATAGCATGTTTCTCAGAGCCTTGTTGAATTTCTATTACAGAGGTCCTAGACCATTATGAGTCATATGGAAGAAGATAGAAATCATTACTACCAATGGCAAATCAGATAAAATGCAGAACTTTGCATTAATCAACAAATTAATAATTGGAACAGCCTTTTGTGCAGAGTACCTAGGTAGTGTGATATGCTTCTATAGATATCTGGTTAGCACAGGAAAGAAAGAAGGCAAATAAGCAAGATTATAGCCCCAGAGAGTATTAACTTCCCTAGTGTGCTTCCCAAAGCTGGAGTGGGGTGCTCTGGGGAGTGTTCAGTATAAGGCTGGCAAACAGAGTTCTTTCACTGTCATCCTTGCAGCCTAGCAACTCCCTCTTCATGGCTAGTTCATGCAAGTGAACGTAATTATTCTGCTTAGAAATTACTGAGCATCACCAGTGTGGACCAGACCACCATGTTCATGAATCTACAAAGTGTCAGAAAAAATTATCAGTTTAATGAAGAACCTAATATCTTTCTTCTACAACCCAGGCTATGCTGTGTTTTATATATGGTTGAGGGATAAGAAACAAACATGGTGAGTATTTGATCCTTGTTTTCTTGTTTTCCCTTCTTTCTTCCTCTCTTCTCTCTCTTTCCCCTCTCTCAAAATGGGAATAAGGGGAAGAAGAAGAAGAAGAAGAAGAAGAAGAAGAAGAAGAAGAAGAAGAAGAGTGTAGCAGAATTAGCAAGAAAAGAGACATTGATGCTTGTAATGGAAGCAAAAATGGCCTACAACTGTGCTCCTTCCTCTCTAGTCCTCTAGTTGCTCTGAGAAATTATATTATTATCCAGCACCTGAAAAGGGCCACAGGGGAGAGGACTAGGCATGGTTCCATTTTCTTAATGTCACCAAATGTTAAGATGAAAAGAAGTGAAGGTTTCAGTAGGATTCTTGGTGGAAACTTGCTGACATTAATGACTCAAATTCTCAGAGAGACTGTAAGGAAGACAGTGTCATCACTGTCATTCAAGCCACTTAAGATGAAATTTCAAAAGAAGGCTGTCAGCATAATGACTGCCAGGTTCCATTATATCATCCTCAGAGGGCGGATCACAAACTACTATGCAGGCTGTGGGTGGTTGACATTCAAGTTTGAAAGGAAGCTGCACAGGCAAAGAGGTGAGGTGGGTGTGGGTCTCAAGGGGGAGCTGCCTTCCATGACCAGGATCCATCACTACTGAAATGCAGATAGTAACTGGGGGTAGGCCCACCTCATCCTACTCCTGGGGACAGGTAGAGGAGCCATGCACATGGTCCTGAAGGAATGTGGGGAGGCTGGAGCTCTAGATCTCAGTGCCTGTTCATTAATTTATCATGGCAATCATCCTCCCTAGCAACCAGGATAAGGACAATCTTCTGTGCGTTCCAGGGATGAGAAGCCCGGCTAATAATCAGAAGCAAGTTATGCAGGGAGTGAATGAGGGCAGTAGCGTTCAGCCTTGGCTGCACACTGCAATCATCGGGTGATTCAGTGCTGAGACCACATGAAAAGCAAACACGTCTGAGCCTTAGCTGAGGTGCAGACACAGTGTTTTAAACATTTCTGCAAGCGATTCCATTGAGCAGGCAAACTGAACACCCTTGATTAGAACAAAGGCTGACTTCAGGTAAGCATCTAGGTGTGTTCAGTGGAGACAAAATGTTTTTATTATCATTGTTTTATTAAAGAGAGGAGATTTTAACATATAGTAGGAAGGACATGATTTGGGGGTGAGAAATTGATTAACTCACTAGACTGTATTTATTTTCCTGTTTCTCTTCAGACAGGGTTCTCTTCTTTGTAGACTGGGGCAATCCTAAAAGGTTAAACAACCAAATTGCTTTCTCCATCCGGTCAGTCTTTCCTGTTGGTAGACTTTAGACACCTTTGGCAGGGTTTTGGTTAATTAGACCACTGTCTTATGCTAACTACTCCTCTCTTGCCACATTCTTTCTAAGGAGGTATCAATACAATTGATTAAGCTGAAATTTATTTTCCCAAACTTTAGGGGTGTTCTGGTTTTTTCTTTGTTTGCTTTTCCCCCCTCAATTACCAAATATGTTGATCAAATAAGCTGGATTATATCTAGATAGTCTCAAATTAATGTTTCTGGAATGAGTGGAGCAAATATCCCTAGGTAAGTGCTACCTGGGATGACTGTGTTCTACTTGTTTGGCTATGATGACTGATGCACTCAATCTAGAAGAGAATTCATTGGAAGGCCCAATTGTCTGAGAGGAGATTTTGGATATGTGTCAAATAAATACAAGAAAAGGCCTTACTTATGTTTTAAAACCTTGTTTCTAGTGCCCGTGTGGATTTTATAGTCAGTTCTGAGGCTGGGCTGGACGTTGTCCCCTCGGCTCTGCGCTGAAGGAGTGTTGTCTACCGTAAGAGTCCACACTTAGTTGTCTGTGCTCAACAGTCAGGGGCTAGCAACTCCTGAGAGAGTATAGTGTGCCAGAACTGTTTACTTCTACCTCAAGGCTGGAACCATAAAGTTCCCTTCGAACTACACATAGTGGAGAGACTCATCTCTAAGCTATAGTCTTCCAGGTGGATGAAGAGAATAGAAACTAGCACAAACAGGTAGACAGGGTAAACCAGGAAGTTATGTTTGCAGATACTTGTGTTCTCCAGAGACCAAATCTGTGTGAACAATAATGGACTACCCTGCCCTGTTACATCTGTCCCACCCCAGCTGAAGTATAACACATGCCTCCCCTTTCAAGATCAGAGCTTTGCTTAGAATAAATAGTACATAAACCACAGAGCTCTGCTAGTAAGTTCCATAAGTTGTTTAGTCTCTCTGGCCTCGATTTCTCTATCTGTACAATGGAATAAGATTAGCAGCAGCACAGTCTCTCTATAATACTCGTAAGAGTTAATAATGCAACTTTGATGGGATGCTTCAAAGAACCAGTGTCAAACTTGTACTAAAAGTAAGAGCACAGCATAGCATGAGCTACTCAGTAAACAATCTCTCTTTCTTGCATACAGAGACAGAGTCAGAATCAGAGAGACAAAGAGACAGAGGGAGCCTATTATATTTGCCCCCCCTCCAGGAACCTCATCGGACACCCAGACTAAGAGGCTATCACTGAACTCCACATTTGAGTTTTCAGGTCTTAATTCCTAAACCAAATACATGTTGCTACATCATATTGCTTAGCCACGTCTCTGGTCCCTCGAATGGTTATTTTCTCTGGGAGACCTGTTGATGAGTGGTGGATATGTCTGACACAGCACTTCTTTCTATGTCAATGCTTTCATCTTTATGGACCACAGTTCCTTGGAACCGTGTTCCCTCGCTGTTGTACTGATGCATCTGTACTCATTTGCATCTGCATCTCTGAATTTCTCTGACTCACAAGAAGAATGTGAATCAAATTTCCTCTAAGTAGATCCCACAGAAAATGTGGGTCTGGGAGAACTTGGGGTGAGGAGGACAAGGTCTGTGTAGCTCTTTATGTCTACCCAGACCCAATGCTATGCCATGATTCATCTAACTAAAGTTGAACATTTTCAAAATCAGCTAATTACTATTACCTATGCCAAAGCTCCCATTTTCCCACTGCTAAAAGCAAACAAAACCCAGAAATAAAATCTTATCAATACGGAAACGTCTCACGTTGCTGCAAAGTTACTGTAGGAGCCAAGTATGTTTCTGAAGGTTTCAGCTCACCCAATCAGACAACAGGCAGAGGAAGGGAGGCTTCTCTCAAGTTACACGGAGCACTCCATCTGTTACCCTAGACCTTTCTTTGTATGTGACATGCGAGGGGATCTTGAAGGCAGTTTGAAAGAGTTTTATTTTACAAATTCTTAGCTCAAAGATTTCTATTTAAAGAGAAGCAGCAGAAGAGGAGAGAGCCCACTGTGAGTTCGTGGACTGGCATTCTGCCTGGTGGAGCCACCGTGGGGAAGGACATTGCCTTTCCAGCTAGTCCCTTCATCTCCTGTAATAAATGCCGCTGAAGGGGCACTTCCTTCTTGATGCTCACAAAGGACTTGGTTTTGAACGGCACCCTCACCAAAGCTATTTCTCATCATGCCAAACCAGCAGAAGAAAGTCATCTTTTGCATGGCTGGTGTGTTGAGCTTCCTCTGTGCTCTTGGAGTAGTAACAGCAGTGGGGACACCACTGTGGATTAAAGCCACAATCCTCTGCAAAACAGGGGCTCTGCTTGTCAATGCCTCAGGGGAAGAGCTGAGCAAGTTCATGGGCGAGATGCAATATGGGCTTTTCCACGGAGAAGGCATAAGGCAATGTGGATTAGGAGCAAGGCCTTTCCGGTTCTCATGTAAGTAACTATTGCATCTGAATTATTTAATGCTTTCCGGACACTCTTGCAGCTGTTGTATGTATCTTACCTGTCTATTGCAGGACTACTCAAACCACTGTGAGCCATTTGACATACTCAGGACTTCTCCCTTGTATTTTTATTTTGTTTTTATTCTTATTAATTTTTCATTCTTGTTATTTTTATTGTGGTCACATATAATTAGTTATTATGAAGTTGAGCTTTTTGAAAGTATAGCCTTTTAAAAGGCTGACATGATGACTCAGAATTAAGGTATGTGATGCCAAGACGGATGACCTGAGTTTGATCCTTGGCACCTGCATGATGGGAACAGAAAACCAAGCTCCCCAAGTAGGCCTCTGACCTCCCTCCATGCATATCATGGTGCTCATGTTCTCTCTCTCTCTCTCTCTCTCTCTCTCTCTCTCTCTTTCTCTCTCTCTCTCTCTCTTTCCTCTTTGAATTCTATATTTTTGAAAATGAAAGTACAACCCTTAAGATTCCTAAGTATTACTAACCATGCTAGACAGCATGGTGTCTTTGTTAAATAGAAAGAGTACCTGAGGAGATACAACCACTGTAAGGAATGATCTTTGTGCCTTTTGTCCTTTATAAAAGGACCCAGGTTTACTTGCTTTTTCCTCTGCCCATGTTTGCCCTGCCCAGCACTGCTAAATCCCTTGCAGTTGATAAATATCCTGTTTTCATATTTAACCAATTTGAAATTACTTGCTACAAACGTTTAAAAATCATCTGCTGAGATAACTGTCAAAGAAATGCATGCCAGCCATACACAAATCCTGCAATGGATTGACCTTCAACTCAGGTAGGGAATAGGGGGAGACTGACTGTCATAATTTTTTGTGAAATGTAAGTGTTTATAACATGTTTATCTTGAGAAAAGAGGTTTAAAAAATTATCGTGAGAATGGGCAACTCATTAAATGAAAATTAATAAGAAGTCATTTGTTGTATCTCTCACTACACACATCCAGAAGTTATTATTATTTCAAAGGTCTGGTTTGGAGCAATCTTACAAAGGCAGTCAGGAAATTACTGCATAAATCACTCTTCAGGAAGGGGACTCCCAGTTGGGGTATTTAAGATGAATTATTATTTTTCCTGAGCTTCTTTTCTCTTATGGTATAGGTAGAAGGTGAAATTAATTGAATTTATTATTAACATATGTAGTGTCTAATTAAATTTCAGCCCTGGCCCATTTATATTTCTGCAACATTCCTTATATCTTGTAAGCAGTCATTTGGTACCAACTTCCAACTCACAAGGGCTACAGAGTGAGGAATTTTCACAGGGCTCCAGGAAATCCCTAAGAACTAGTCTTCAGCTTCTTAAGAAATTAACATCAACTAGATTTGATGAAGTGGATACAGCTACTTTCTCCGAATGGCTTTAGTTCATTAAGGTAGCTGGGCTGTGACAGTGGCGCAGCTTCCCTGGAAGTGGGGGCAGGAGAGAGAACAAAGCACTATACTGTGTGACTTGCAACTGTATAAAAAATAAAAAAGGAAAATAGATGAGTGAGATGATTTCACTGTGAGTCACCAGCAGCTAAAGGCTGAATAAAGCTTCTCACAAAGGAATTCAGACAAAAGCAGGGAATGGCAGGGACTGTTCCGGAGGCCTCGTGTTTATGACAGTGGACGAGAGGTAAACATGGCTTCTGCTGCAGCATGTGGTTCAAAACAACAGTACGTTGTTTTCTTAGCACTTACAGCATACTCGATACTCCATATGCTTTGTCTTGCCTTCCTTCAGCACCCACCAGTACATGTGTTCTTGTGGTTCGGTGTATCATTCCCGTGACTATCTCTTGTGCTGGCCTTCCCCTGGGAAGTTATTCTAGTCAAGTCCTCATTCGCTTGTATTCTATGAGGATTAGCAGAGCCGAGCAGGGTTTTTACATTACCACCGCCCACCTTGCAAATTGCTTTGGCCTTCTTGCTAGCCTGTACGTTTCTCCCAGCATGGTGAAAAAAAGCTTACATTTTTGTTTTATGTGTGATGACAGCCCTTTCTATACTGTAGGATATACATATTAAATAGACACAAATTAATACATGGAAATACTCATGTTAAAACTCCATTTATTTATTATTTTGAATTCCAGAGAAATATACTAATGATGCAATTTTTTCTGCCTAAGCAAAAAATAAAATGGTAAATGAAATTAAAATATCTTTCAGTATAACATGAAAGAATGTTAGGAAAACTATACAATAAGTAACCCCCATGGAATTCTCAAAAAAGCACACTTTTAATACATTTAAACACACTGTACTTCCTAAGTTCACACTCCTACCCCCATCACAGTATAGTGTATGGGCCACATGGTATCGTTCAAGATGCCATTCGTACCTAGTCAATGGTGTTTCATCAACTTGTTCAAAAGAAGAGAGCCTTCTGATAGGTTCTCTTAACAGGTAAGTGGAAGTCCTGTTAATATAAGACAGTAAGTGGCTTAACCCTGGCATCTCAATAAAAGCTCCCTTTGAGCAATGCTATGGCCTCCAGAGACTGTGATTCTGCCCCACTGTTTCTGAAGCCTAAATAAAAATTTAAACACAACCATTCCCAGAGCATCCCCCTTTCTCAGCGTTCCTTTAGAAAGATATCAAGCAGATATTTAGAGAAGTATTCTTGTACAGGAGATATAGAAACAATAACTTATAAAAGTATCAATAACTCTGTGGCTAGTTGTCATGCAACATCAGTTGCTATAGATTCATATTTCAATTCTATTGGATTTCTACCTGTATTCTGCTTGTCTAGACTTTTTTCTTGTACTGGGGATTAAACTCTAAGCCTTGTATATGGTCAGCTAATGCTATACCACTAAGCCACAGTCTTGACTTCCTGCTTAGATAATCATTGACCAATAGAGTTACAATGTAAGCCGTACTAGCTACATTAGAACATAAAAGCAAAAAGAAAAAATAGGTGAAAGCCACTTAATAATTTTCTTTAATTAGGATATCCAGAATACTATTGTATAAACAGATAATCCATATAAAAATCATTGAAATGTTTTACATATTTCTATTTTTCTTGTGCAGTCTTTGAATTCTAGTGTATGTTTACACAGCCCACCAGATTAGAACTGGCCACATTTCAAGTGCTCATTTTGATGGTACTTTATTGTACAGAATGGATTTAGAAGGAGATTTACACTGAATAAATTGGCTATTGACAATGTCAATATTTTAAATGACTTTTTGCTTGGCTGTGCTGGACAGGTCTATGTGTGTGATTTTTATGTGCAATGTTTGTGTCACTTTTAAAGCCTATGTATATATGGTATAACATGAGAATGAAGAATGAGCAAGAAGAGCAGTTTGGCAGTGCAGTGATGTTTGTTTCTATTAAGTGTCCCTACTGACTATTCTATCTCTTTTAATTATAACAAGACTCTGCCCTGTTAGCATGCAAAGTTATGCTGGGAAAACTTCTGCCTCATTTACTCAGGCTGATCCTCATCTATTTACGGGTCAGTGGTTCATTGGCTAGAGGTCACTAGCATTCCTGCCCAGACCATGATTTCATTCATTATAATGATGGAATGTTTGCCTTTGAAGGCAACACAACTGGTTGACATAGTTTGTCACCTAACATCAACTATCAAATTTTATAATAATGTTTAAATATCAAATGTAGCCATCAAGACAGAAACTGCCAGTTTTAAGCTTGCGCTCTCTCTCTCTCTCTCTCTCTCTCTCTCTCTCTCTCTCTCTCTCTCTCTCCTTCCTCTCTCTCTGTATTTTTGTTCATTTGAAACACTGCATAACATTATCAAAATATGATATGCAAGAATCATATAGTATCAATCATTCCTAGATATAATGATCTGTTCTTTGCCAACACAGTTCAATGATCTGGTAAAACATATGGAGTTGGGTTTTTTGATATGTAAAGAATAGAATTTAACCAATCATGTATCCCAGTTCCCAACTTCAGTCATACATTGAAAAGCATTTTAATTTGGTCACTGAGATTGAAAATTTGTAAAAGCCTTGACAAAGCTGGTGTACTTCATATTTTAGAAAAGCAGATGTCCTGTACCAACTGAGGTATATGGCCCAGATTACAGTGGGGTGGTGCTTAAATTACTTCTATGAACAAGAGGTGACTTCTTGAACATATTGTGGTATAGAATAGTTGAGACTTGGGGGTCATTGTGACCATGAATGAGAGTTGGCACTCTATCTCTTCCAAGTGTGTCTCTTGTCTTCAGCTGGCCGGTCCCATCCAGGCTCCCTACCCTTCTCCGATGGCTTTCCTGAAAGAGCTGAAGGCTCTAATGTCCTGCTGATGCAACATTCCTCCTGTCCCCTCACTTCCTCTGCACATGGCTTGTATGGATACTGGCCAGAGGAGATGGGTCTGTGAGAGAAGCTTGTGTGGCTTGTCTAAGTTTTCCTGATGGAAGGAACCAACCATTGCACATTTACCCGGAATGCACAGGCCTCCTGTCCTTTAGTTTGGAGACGCTTTTATCTAGACTCATTCACCTAAGAAACAGTCCAGCAAATAGATACCTTCCTTCTTTTCCATTGAAACAATAGTAATTAATGGAACAGATATGTGAGAAGGAACAACTTTTGATTTCTCTCAGCCAAACAGCCTCCTGCCCTTCCTAACCCTGGCCCTTACTATTTTCAACATCTATAGTGTATAAATACGAGCATGTGCATTTCTGCTCTGCAGAAAGATTAATCCCAAGAGACAGGGTGGCTACTGCTCATGAAAGCTCTGCCCCCAAACAGGGGCATGAAGCAGAGTGTAGCAGCACCAAGAAGGACTCACAACTGCTTAGTAAGTGACTCTATTTGGATCAAGCAACCTAGACTGGAGATGCATCTGTACCGCTGGCTGAGGCTCAGGTTCTTGGCACTCTGACCATGTGTCCGTTCTTTTTTCTTCTGTCGTAAGATGGAGGTAGAAGTGGTTTCTGAATTTCTTTCCACTCGAATGTGACGTATACAATGATCTGCTGGTTTGGATGAGGTCCTTGTCCAGCCTTTCTAGTCTCTGTCACTTGATGTCTTCCCTGACTGGCAGATTTCAGCCACCATTTTGAGAAGTAGCGAGTTCTGCGAGCCCTTCTTCTGGCTGTGTTATATGAAGTGTTCTGAGGTGTGTGCTGTGAGTCAGAACCCAGGCTCCTTTCTCTATTGAGGAGACTTTCTTGCCTTTTTGTCACTCTTTGGACCTTTTATGTTGAAAGCAGCAAGTTGAAGAAGGATCTAGTGAAGAAACAGATGCTTTGGAGTTTAGCCGCAATGGGCTCGTAGGTTTCTGAGAGCAGTCATTCTCATCAGCGCCCAAACACCTGAACCAGAGAAGAGACAGTGAAGGCTGAGAGGCTGAGAGAGGCTCCTTGCTTATTTTTTTCTCTGTAGATTCCTAGTTTGCCCTCCATGAAAAATTCCTCCAATCTAATTTCTTATACTGAAAATGACAAAAAAGAAAAAAAGATCAATCTGCTTAACATTTCAAATTTCAAAGGTATTCTTTACCCAGAAGAGGTTCTACCTGTTATTCTGTAAGCACTGGGAAATGTTAGGAAAATGCTTTTTAAAAGACAAACATTGATTTTCCCCTGAATGTCACTGTTCCCTTCTCCCACTTTCTTATCAAAAGACCAACAGAACCAGCTTTGCTGAGAATCACAGTTTCAACCGTGTGGGCCAGTGCATAAAAGTGCTAGGTACCAGTCTACCCTCCCTCTGAATCATCTCCATGCTGACAGCTGGGCAATTATTGTCCCTGAATAGTTAGAAGGAAAGACTGGATGACAAGGTAATGCTTTTTTTTTGGGGGGGGGGGAATGTTGTTGTTTTCATTTGTTTGTTTTTTCTTGTGGATGTGGGGTAGGACAGTGTCTCACCATATAGCCCTGATAATCTTGAAATTCTCTGTGTAGACCAGGCTGGCCCCAAACTCATAGAGACCTGCCAGCCTCTGCTTCCTGAGTGCTAGGAATAAAGGAATGACTCACTATCTTTAGCTATGTAGACCAGGCTGGAGTCATACTCACAGAGATTTGCCTGCCTCTGCTTCCTAAGTGCTGGGATTAAAGGCATACACCCGAATGCTTGGCTTAAAATTTATTTTTGAACTAGGGCCTACAAATGGTACATATTTAAAGTGCCAAAATGTATGTCATTTTTTTAGACTTTCTTTTTTATATCTATGAGTGCTTTCTCTGAATGTATGTATGTGCACATGAGCATAGCTGGTGTCAGTGGAGATCAAAATATGTGGCTGAACCTCCTGGAACTGGAGTCATGATAGTTGCGAGCTGCCATATGGATATTGGAAACTGAGGAGCAAGGGCTCTAAACCACTGAGCCATCACTCCAGCCCTTTAATATATGTGATGTTTAAATTGAGATAACCATATCCATCTCTCCAAACATTTACCATTTCTCTATTGGGAAAACTTACCAAATCCCTTTTGTAGCTTTGGAAAGTCTCCAGTGTATTATTTCCTCTATAATTACTTCAATGCAGCATCACAGTGGGTCTTCCTGATCCCACCTAACTGTCTTACAACCATTGACCAAACTCATCCCCTCACCCTTCTCAGCCTCTGGTAACCACCATTTTCTTCTGAGAGTCTACAGGACTGTCTTAGTTACTGTTCTATTGCTTTGAAGAGATACCATGACCAAGGCAACACGTCTAAAGAAGTCACTTAATTGGGGCTTGCTTACGGTGTTAGAAGATTAATCCATTGTCATCATGGTGGAAAGCAATCAGGCAGGCATGGCATTGGGGTTATAGCTGATAGCTTTATATCCTGATCCACAGGCAGCAGACAGGGAGAGGAAGAGACTGGGCCTGGCATGGGCTTTTGAAACCTCAAAACCAACCACCAAGCAACATACCTCCTCCAACAAGGCCACACTTCCTAATCCTTCCTAAATAGTTCCACTAACTGGGGACTAAGCATTCAAACATATTAGCCTATGGGGCCACTCTCATTCCAGCCACCACAGGAGCCAAATTTTTATATTCTGAATATGAGTGGGATCATGTAGCACTTGTCTTTTTGTGCCTGGCTCCTGTCAGTTAATGCAGTCACGATCCTAATAGATGTCTGAACAGGAACCCTGGTGTGTCACAGAGCACTTGATTGCTCTTGCAGAAGACCTAGGTTCATCTCCTCATGGCAGCACACAACCTGTGCATCAGGGTGTAAAACTCTCAATGAAGCAACCATAGATAAAATAATACAGTGAGCCGGGCGTTGGTGGCACACGCCTTTAATCCCAGCCCTGGGGAGGCAGAGGCAGGTGGATTTCTGAGAGTTCGAGGCCAGCCTGGTCTCCAGAGAGAGTGCCAGGATAGTTTCCAAAGCTACACAGAGAAACCCTGTCTTGAAAAACCAATAAATAAATAAATAATACTGTGAGGTGACTTCAGGATCTCCCATTTCTCTGCTTTTCTTTTTAACTTCTGAAAGTGACTTTATGTTCTTCAAGATCTTTCAGACATCTCAGAAGAAAAAAGTGTGAATTCAGTGCCCATTTATTGAGTACCTCATAGGTGCCAAGTATTTTCTATGTATTAGCAACAATCATGACATGATAGGCACTGTTGTTACTAGGAAAACCTGGGATTCCCTTTTGGGTTCTTAGTTTTATTATGAAAGAAAGAGTTTATAAACAGATTCAGAAGAAGGCTCAAGGACAGATGCATTTTTTGGCATTATCAAATGTTCCTGTGTTATCAACAGAACACTGTAATAGAATATTTAAGTGTATTTATCAATGGCTTCCATGTCTAGTATAGTGGATCTGTTTTGTTTGTTTGTTGCTGTTGTTGTTATGTTTTTGTTTTTTCGAGATAGGTTTTCTCTGTGTCATAGCTCTGCCTTGGGATGAGACTGGCCTGCAACTCACAGAGATCCCCCTGCCTCTGCCTCCCAAGTGCTGGGGTTATAGGTGTGGACCTTCACCACTCAACTGGATATGTTTGTTAAATAGCAACTGATATAACTAGAACAGCATAACATGGGATCCAGTACAGCTAATTCTTATTGAGTAAATAATGTACTAAAGGCAGTAAGGGAAACAGGTATTTTTTTTCTTTGCTTCATTATGAACCTAGATTCAAGGTCAGTTTTATGAGAATTTTAGGGGGGGGATAGGGCAAACAAGGTGTAAATCTTAGCACTTACCAGGAGGAAAGAGAGAGAGGAGAAAAGAAAAGGTCATGGGTTCAAGAGAGCAAGCACCAGGATGGTGGAAGGTGTGGACACTGTGAAACACTGAGAAAGGCCAGAGTACCAGTGAGAGGGAGCATGCTTTGGGCTATTATCTGAAAGAAAAAGAGATAGAAAAGAAGAAGGGGAAACACTGCTCAAATATTCTGGAAGGAGAGCATGTCTTCAGGAGAATCAGAGTCCTGACCAGATGATTGACAAGCCCTGCTTCCTTAAGGGAGGAGATAATAGTATGTAATGGACTTACCTTTGAAGAAGTTCAGAATGCCACGCCTCTACTGAGGACCAGGAAAAAGTAGCTTTCACTTAGTGGGCCTCAACAAAGTCCAGAAACTTTGACTTTCTCATATAGTGATTTAAATCCTAAAGCAGGGCTTCTCTTTCTAGGATACTCAGAGAAACAGGAGGTGGTATTCAAAGTTTACGGGGAGGGAAGGTGTTCATCCTCAAAGCTTAATATCTTTCTAGCTACCTACTTTTATGATGCCAGTTCTCTTGTTCAAATGTGGAGTCTGGAAGCACTGAAAGATCACAAAAATTTCCCCAACTCATCTAAGGAACCAGTATATGACAGACCTGGATTCCAGTTCATGTGCAGATGATAAATAAGACTCTTTCATCATATTTGAGTAAGAGGAGCATCAAAAAATACCCAGAGGATAGTTTTTTGGTCTTTGTTGTTGTTTTTCTGTAGTGCTGGGGTCCAAATTGGGCAGCTGTCCAGATCTCTCATGGTCTTCTTTATTGTGATGTTGAAACCTCACAAGAACATACTCTTAAATTCATTCCTTGCTTTAATTCAATCTTAAGTATCCAAAAGTTGGCTTTTGACCTTTGGAAGAGAAAATAGTCAATCCTGCTTGATAATGGAGACTGAACAGGTCACATGCTTCAGCTGAGTCTTTGAGCTATAAATTACATATCCACAGTTTAGGTTTAAGGCAAAGACATCCAAAGACACACTGTTTAGCTAACTGAAGTCTTTATGATGTGACCACTAATCCATTGCTGTGACTACAGCAATGACTGCACTAAGGCAATTAGCAAAATGGAAGACTTCCCTGATGAGTCGGCAGTTTCACAACAGAGGTATCATGACTCATGATTAAAAACTAGGGCCACAGAATTAGAGCATCAAATTCAAGTCTCCTTCGTTTCTGAGACAGAATCTCACTGTGTAGACCTGGCTGTCCTGGAACTCACTACAGTTGGTCTCGAACTCACTGAAATCTTCCTGCCTCTGCCTCACAAGTGCTTGGATTAAAGGCTTTCTCACCCATTAACCCATTATACCTGGCTTAAAGTCTCATTTAAACAAAAATGAAATAAATAAGATTTCATTTTACCTTAGAAAAATCTGCATTTTATAAAGTTATAATCATATTTTTTAAAAAAAATCACAGATGTGTTACTAAGGCTTCTTGAAAATTTTATGCACAATTCCTTTGGGCTGAAAAAATTTTTGTGTGACCCTGGACCTTGGGGACATAGGTAGATAATATAGTTACACAATTCCAGCATTTTTGCAGATGATGAATCATAAAGAAGTTTAGTGTAAGACAATTAGTTGGCACATATATAATTTTGTCATTTATTGAGTCAGAAAGCAAATTTTCATAATAATAATATGGATGTGATCATTTATAAAGAAGTCTTGGCTGAATTTAATACATCAGGACACAGAGCATTTCCAACATTGTTCAAAGCTGATCGATATTTTGATTTTATGATTGTCATTGCTAAGATTGCTACTTTGTATACACCTGTAGTACAAAGTGGAAGAGGGATGTTTACAGATATTTCAGCAAATGGTTGGAAACTCAATCCCAATCCAAGCCAAAATTTAGTTACAAACTTTTTTGAAACACAAGTCAGAAACTCAAATAGCAATTTTTAAAATCAAACATTCTAGGACAATACAATCCAAAGACAAACTAATTTGACACTTACATGCTGAAAGATGATGGTAGAATACTAAAAATACTTTGTTTTCCATAATTAAACCATTATGTGCTTATTAGAACAGATAACCCTTGTATGGAGAGTGAAAACACTGCAGTTTGTAACATAAGATAGCCTGGGCTGAGCCCAGGTGTTCCAAGCCAGTATACATTGTCATTGTGTGATGTAACAGCATGTTCAGTGCAAAGTGAGCTTATTGTGAACTAAGACCCAAAACTGAAATGAAAGTCATGTCTTGTAACATGGAATTCTACCTGAAACACCTCAGATTCATTATACATATGACTTTGAATTAATTTCGACTCATTCAGAAACTTTTCGTTGATGCCAGACCTTTTAAACCACCAACATTCAGTCATGTGATCCCATACTAAGAAGCCTGGCACCAAACAATGGAAAACTTTGCTTCCCATAGATATGCAGCTAAGTGCCCAGGCTAGGTGTGGTAGGTGGGATATACTTTCTTTACAGGTATGATAGAATTGAAGAAGCAAACTTAGTACCTGGTAGACTAATCTGTTCAGGGGTGCTGTTCTGCTCCATCTCAGCATGTCATAATGGTGGCAAAGTCATTCGCAGAAGTTATTGCCCCAGCGTGGTTATACCCCTGTGGATTCAGAGAATTTAACTGTGTTCTGTTATCAGAGACACATATGTCAAATCAGCTATCCCCTGTAAGCCACCACGGGTGACTAAGACTCACTGGTGGACTGCCTGCAAGTAGGCTTCAGCCAGGTGGATGCACTTCAGCTAAGAAAGAGTCAGGTGAGGTTCTGTCATATCATCGGGTCTCCTTTTAAGTGCAGGGTCGCAGATTTCATTCTGTCTGACCACCTAGCCATCAGGAGCTTGGCTCAATATCTGGCTGTGAGCTTGTGGGTGATACTAAGGAAGATGAATGCATGGGGCTTATGCCAGGGAAATCTCTTTTATCAGATTTTCATAATGACTGGCTGCTGATGGGCTGAGGGGAAAGTCAGATCAAGAGTGTTTCTGTAAAAAGAAAGAAATCTCTCCTCCTCTTATTCTCTTTCAAGAAAATGAATAGCTGGGCTCCATGAAGCAAAATGGGTCTTTAAAAATAAAAATGTCTTTTATGTAGAGAAAGACAAGTTGAGAAGAAAGGCAGACCCTCTGATACTACCTCTGAGGCTTTAATCTGAGCAGAAGTTGCTGTCATTGCTGACATCATTATCAGAGGCCGCCTCTGTTCCCAGAGTCTCACAGATGGCATTATCTGCATTTCACATCTGGCAGATGAAGGCAAGAGGGCTGACAAGACCAAAACTATTAGATCAGTGGTCCATGAACCTGACTGTCGCTTAGCAGCACCTAGGGGGTTTTTAAAACAACTGACGATGCCAAGGCTCCATCCCAGGACTGTTGGATCTGGCTCTGTGGGGCAGAAGCTGCAGTGTTGGTGGGTTTAACAGCTCCCCAGGTGAGTGAAATACCCTCTCATAGTTGAGGGTAGCAGTCAGGACAGGTGGCAGCAAGTGAGGCTAAGAAGTCAAAACTCGGTTTGAAACAGGGTGAGAAGCAGTGTTTAGCATTCCACATTTAGGAGATTTTCTGGTCAAAAGCATGCTGGGGTCCTTGGCTTTCAGTCATTAAACTGTGCATGCCCTTGAACAATCTGGTGGATAAATCTGCAATGAGAAATGGAGTGCACTTGCCTCTCTGTCGAAGAGGCATTCTTTCTTTGTACGTCTGCCCACCAGCTACATATAGATAAGTCCAGCTGCTTGGGCCAAAGAGTCAGCTTTGGCCCTGCTAGAATGGCTCCTGGCTGATCACCCCAACCTGTCTGTGTCAGTGAAGCTACCTAATCTGAGGAAGTTGCCCAAAGATCTGAGACATGTTCTTTAATCACTTGAGCTGAAACAAAGCCACTATTTTGACTCACATCTGCCTGTCTTCCCTGAAAAGCCCCTGGTCCTTCAAAAGAGTCCCACAGGGGTCTCCTTTAGCAGTATGATACCAATATGAAGATCATTTTAGACAAGCCATTACAGAGAGTGTCCAACATCTTGCACACAGGAAGAAGAAACAAGAAAGGAAACAGTACATCAGATGATGAAGAAAGTGTGTGACAGGCATCAAATATGTAACGAGAAAGCAAAAATCTAGTGTTTTAAAAACAGTAATAGCCACCTACCTGATGACAAAGAAAAAAAAAAAAAGAAAAATCTGTACTACAAAATGAAAAGTTGGTCTTAATTGATTTCATATAATCCAAGAATTACAGTGGGAGGAGGAGGCACTTTGGTCCCAGTGTAAAACATGTAATCTGATCACCTAATGGCCCCTGCCCAATCCCAGTGGTTGGTCCTCAGACTAGAAAATGCAGACACTCTACACTGCGTGATCACATCCTACTCTTGTCAGCAGTGCAACCCTCCTGCTGTTCTCATCAGGTTAAAGAAATATTTAGGCAATTACTGCACATTTCCAAAGAACTTCTACATAAGCGATCTCATTTATATTTTTCATAAGCTCTGTGACATTTCTTCCTTCCTTCTTTTCTTTCCGCCTTCCCTTTGACACACAATAGTACATATTCATGGAGCACAATGAGGTACCTCAATACGTGTGTGTTGTATCAAATCAGGGTAAGGAGATATATTCAAAATCTTTTCTTTGATATTTTGAAATATGCAATGCAATTTTGTAACCAGAGTCACCCTACTGTGCAACAGAGCATACTTCTCCTGCCTAATTGAAACTCCATGCCTGATGACCAATCTCTCCCCAGCCCAGCCTCTGGTAACCACTATTCAATTCCCTATTTCTGTGATATTGCTGATTCACTACCCACATTTACAGATATGGGAGCTGAGATGCTTGGAGATCTCATAAATAGTAAAGGCAAAACTTTATTAGGCCCTAATCTTCATGACCCCAAAGTGCTGCTCGGCTCAATCAGGTACTCCCTCCCTGTCTATTCCTAACCCTCCAAGCAGCAACAGCATCAGCTTTTGCTTTGGTAATTCATTACATTTCAGTCATTTGTCACTCCTGAGCAATGCTGTATTATACATAAACTCAGATTAAATTTACCAAGTCCTGTTTTTAAGACTACTAGAGTAAGAAACATGACAGACAGCATAAAGGGATAATGAAGGCTTTGCGTAAAATATAACAAAAAAATCCAGCAGCTAGAACTAAAATAAATTTTGAAGCAATTGGAATGAAAGTCATATATTTGGGGGTATCAAATAAAACATGGATTAATGACAAGCAATAAAGGAACATATGTAGCATTTAGTAAAAACAAATGCTGTTCACCTCTTTTTATTTGATTTTTTTGAAAACATGACTTTACCTGTAGAATAAAAAAATTGCAAGCTATAGATATATATACCACCAACTTCTTTCTCTATGAAAGGCCCCTTACTGCCTATGTGTACCTTAGCATTCTGCTGGAGTCCGAAGATGTGAAAACCATTAGAAAGGATATTTGCTCAATTACAGAATCTATCGAAAGTCTTCATAATCAATCACTTTGTCAGTCAGAATGAGCTAAGTTGTGTTTCAATAACAATCCAAACCCTATAAGTTTTTTTAAAAAATGTATTTCTTGATGATAGTACATAGCTATTTGTAGGTCAGCAATAGATTCACTGTAGGTCACAGTTGCCATATGAAACATTGACAGTTGGCAGTTGTAACAGAGAAAGTATCCTGGAGACCATCACACTAGCAATTAAATTCTCTGACCTGGAGCTCAAACCTTCCACTTTCACACTTTAATTATTTTGGCCAAGGCATGTTGCATAGCACACCAAGTTTCCGAAGGGCCAACATGTGATAAAGAACCACAGATATCAATGTCTGAATAACAGTGGTCACTATCCCAATTATTGTATTTGCTCAGAAAGCTCAATGAAAAAGAGTTACTCTCTATGAGGACAAGGTAGAGAAATCAGGCAAGTGCTCAAGAGTGAATCATATTTCATTGACTATAAGCAAGGACTTTCCAAGTAAAGGAACAGCAGGGCTTACTAAAGCCAGAGAACAAAAGATGTGTAGTGGGAAAAGGAAGATAAGGCTGGCTCTCAGGGGTGGGGTTGTGGGGGGGGGGGGGGGTGGTCAGGTGACCAGGATATGACAGATGCTTGCTATCCTGAGGCAGTTACCTTGGGATTGTAGGCAATATGAAGCCGCTAAGAAAGTTAAGGCCCATGACAGGACAGATGATAGATGAGAAGAAGAATTAAAGAAAGGCTGAGGCAGGAAGTCAGGAGGAGACTTGCAACACCACAAAGCAGCTAAAGGAGAGTGGAAAAAACAGAGACACACTTCCTAAATCCTCCTATAAAATAGCAGCTGGATATATGACAGAATACACAGGAATTTTTACAAAGTTCTGGAAAGTTGTTACTAGTCAGTGAGATAAGAAGGGCAAAAGAAGCAATTGTAGGAGAAGATGAAGCAGGAGTTGGTTCTGCTTGATTTGATGGTTCAACTGTGGAGCACAAACAAAAGACACCCATCTGTTAAATAACCTTTGAGCTTGAGAGCAGCCTGGGGTAGAAACGGAGAACGGGCAGCCTGCAGGTGGGAGGCAGCAGTTGGAAGCACAGCTGAGGATGGAATTTCTCAGGGAGGGATGGATACAAAGAGACATGTCCTGGAGAAGAGTTGTATACCTGAGGGAGAGAGATGAGACACTGACAGAAGGGAGACTAAGGTACAAGAGACTGATTGAGGGAATCCTTGGGAGGAAAGACCTTCATGGAAAATGGTTCATAGGTCTAGACACCACAGGGATGGCTATAGGCAGATAGCCATATATAGGACTGCCAACTCACAAAACAAAACAAAAAACCACAAAAAAACCCACAAAAAAAAACAAACAAAAAAACCCCAATGACACATAGACTTATTATTAACTATAAAAGCTCAGCCTATAGTTTAGGCGTGTCCCACTAACTCTTATAACTTAATTTAACCCATTTCTATTCATCTATGTGTTGCCACGTGACTCGTGGCTTTTACCTCTCCTCCTGCATGTCTCCTTCCCTTTGTATCCAGCTGACAACTCTGCCTTTCTTCTTCCCAGAGCTGTCTCTGTCCCCAGAATTCCTGCCTAACCTCTTCCTGCCTAGCTATTGGCCATTCAGCTCTTTATGAAACCAATCACAGTGACACATCTTCACACAATGTAAAGGAATATTCTGCAATAGATGGCAAGTGAGAGTGTGAATATGGTTCATAGAGTGTCCCAATCAGAAAGATAGGAAGCCTTTTTCAAAGAAGCCATGATGAAGTGGGGAAGGCAGGTGATTACAGGAGTTGAAATGGCAACTGGAAGGAAGGACTCTGGCATAAGGACTAGGTGTAAAGGGAAAAACTGAGATTAGAAAATGGTAGATTCCCCTAGGCCAGGCTACCGAGTTTGTCTGTGTGAGAGGACAGAAGGACAGACAAAAGGCTGAAGATGGTAGGAGAGGTAGGCAAGATAAGGTGGGAAGAGTCGCAGAGCACAGAGAAAAGGCTTCATCCTGCAAAACATTCTTTTCACAAATAGCAAAGGGAAACTTTTGCTAGACTTGGGGAAATGATGGTACCTTAGTTACTTTTCCATTGCCCTGATGAAATATCATGACTAAGGGAATGTATAAAAGAAAGCATTTAATTGGAGTTGATGGTTCCAGAGGGTTAGACTCCATGACTATCATGACAAGGAGCATGGCAGTAGGTAAGCAGACATGGTGCTGGAGCAGTAGGTGAGAGCTCACGTCTGATCTACAAGCATGAGGCAGAGAGAGAGAGCTAAAATCCACCCCTAATGACACACCTCCTCTAACAAGGCCACACTCCTCATCCTTCCCAACAGTTCCAACAACATGTAGGCAATCAAATATATGAGCCTGTGGGGTCCATTTTGATTCAAGCCACTACATGTGGGCATGTGACATAAGGACTGAAAACTTGAAAAACTTCTAATATTTCCGCTTGCTCTGAGAAATGGGAGTTTATCTTACTAGACTTTAATGAGCCCTTTGTAGGACCATAAGAAATGGAAGGGGGAGTGACAGGTGCCTAAGAATATGGGATACTAGGTATGTTGATGCAGGCCTGTAATTCCAGGATTTGGGAGGCTGAGAAGGATGATTTTGAGTTTAAGACTAGTCTGGGTTACTTAATAGGTTTAAGGTTAGTCTGTACTACATAGAGGCTATGTCTCAAATAAATTAATTAACAAACAAACAAATTAAAAGTCAGGTGGGAACCCCTGACAGGGACAGGAGTGGGAAGACTGAAAAGGCCTTTACAGGTTTGTCAGTGCAGAGATTAGAGGCCTGAAGTGTCCCCATCTGGGCAGGAGACAGAGTCCAAGGAGCACAGACCCTATGAAATCAATGCGTGAGAGCAAAGCTCCTACACAGTGCTTCCCTGTTTCTGTGTTTGCACTGCAAGTCATTAACTGATGACTTATCCAGCTCTGTTTCATAACAGCCAGCTCCTGGAACAAGGATATGACAGCCTTTCTTTGCTTGTCAGCTCTGTAGCCTGGATTTTCTTCCTCATCCTCTTTTTTCGGGCACTTAGGTGCCTTTATTCTGCTGTCAGAAGGGTGAACCCAAAGAACAACTGGTTATCATTTCAGATCTCTCCATGCTACTGTGTGCAGCAATTGTCTGTTTGTTTTTGTTGCTGATTTATAGTGCATGGACATGCACACCTTGCTCAGTCATCTGCCCACTGATGCTATTTAATTGATTTTAGTGTTGGTGAATATGAATGAAGACGTATAAACATCTGCACAGAGGTTTGGGTGAAGTGTGTTTTTGCATTCTCTGAGGTGAGTTCCTAAGAATCAGAATGGTGTGCATTGATAATCTAAATCAAGCTAGGTTCTGGAACGGCCAGGTACAGCCATGTGCAGACAAGCAAAATAACCTTGGCCCCCAGCTATACTGTGTATGAAAACCTCAAAATAGAACCAAGGGGTGGGGAAGATGGTTGGGTCAACAAAGTACTTTCCATGTAAGTGGGAGGACCTGGCTCTCATCTCCAGAATCCATGTAACGAATAAAGACTAAATAAGTTAGATATGGTTTAGTTTATAATCCCAGGACTGGAGAAGGGAAAACAATCAGACCTGTGACCAGCTGGTAAACCCACTGATATATAGCAGTTTCCTAGAACATTCTATCCTTCCGGGAAGCTTCTTAAGTAGGAAGGTAAACAATTCAAATAAGCTCCAGGAAGTCCCTGAAACTGACCAGCTTCACTAGGCCCCTCCCTGCCAGAGTAAGCAATAAAAGCTGCAAAGAAGACTCTGACCAGTTGTCTGGGAGAAGCACACACCTGCTCAGTGGCCTGAAAGGTCACTTGGCAAGGACACTCTAACCTGTTGAGCTGCCCATAGGCTGTGCAGGGAGCTCCAGGTTTTCCAGCTCTTGTGAGCTGTCGCCCATGCTGGGACGGGCTTTAAAGTGCAGCTAGCTGTCTTTGAGTCATTTCTGTTCCTATAAGTAAACTAGCACCCATACTCTTGTGAGTAGTTACAATAAAACTCATTTGTCCAACTCACTGGTTGGGCTTTGGTGGTCTACACTACATACTTTAGTCAGTCTGAGGTGAGTAGACACAGGTGTGCTGCGTTTTCCCCAGAAAAGTTTTGTCACCCAACACCCACCTACCATAACTGGAGAGTCCTGAGCTAGTGTAGAAACCTGCTACCAAATACAAAATAGGTGGGCAGTACCTGAGAGATAATACCCAAGGTTGTCCAGTCTTCACTCACACACACACACACACACACACACACACACACACACACACTACAAATTTTAAAAAAGAAACATCAGAAAATATTTGTGACCTTTCATTGTCAAAGGCTTCTGAGATTTGACATCTAAACTCTGACACATAAAAGAAAAAATAGATAAACTGGACTTCATAAAATAAAAAAAATTCTTCACAAAGCACAGAGATGGACCCCAGACATGGAGAAAATATTTGATTTTCTTATCTGATAAGAAGCTTATATCCAGCATGTATAAAGCTGATTCAAAACAAATAATCTAATAAAAAATATATAAAAAGTATGAACAGACATACCACCAAAGCCAATGCAAATATCAAAAACAAGCTCAAGCATAGTCTACCTCATCAGTCATTTGGGAAAGGCTAATTAAAACAATGAGATAGCCTACACACCTATTAAATGGCTACAGTTTTTAAAGCTCTGCTGAAAAATTACGGGATAACGTGAAGGGATGCACTCTCGGCCTGTACACATGGGGGAAGGCCTAGGCCGCGTCCAGAATGATGTGGTGGACTTTGGGGACCCCCGTCAAGGGCCCTACCCTGCCTTGGGAGTGGAGGGTGGATGTGGTGGGGGGCAGGTGGGGAGTTGGAGGAGGGTTGGGGGAGGGGAAGGAGAGGGAGAAGGGATTGACATGTGAAGCAAGCTTGTTCCTTATTTGGACTAATAAAAAATTTTTTAAAAATTATGGGATATCTGGGTCCTAGCATTACTGGTGGTTAAGTAGATGGCACCTACATTTCGAAGAGCACTTGGCTTTTTTTTTCTGGAGTTCTACCTGCAGAAGCTGAGAAGTTGGAGTAAGAAAATGGGGAAAGTTTGGAATGGGCAGAACATCCTACATCTTAATTGTAGTAACAGTCTTATAAATGGAATACATTTGTTAAATCTTGCAGAGGTTTGGCAAGGTGGCTCAGTGGAGCTTGCTGCATAAGCCTGGAGATCTGAGCTTGATTCCAGGAATCCACAGGAGAGATCAACTCAACAAAGTTGTCTTCTATCCTCCATATATGATGTGGCATATACACAACAACAACAATAACAATGTAAATTTTTAAAAACTTACAGTCATAAATAGATACATTTTCCCCATGTTAACTTTAAAGTTATCTTAAAACTAGAGGGTACCAGAAGTGACCACAAAGGCAGCTATGTCACTGTGAGGTTATGTAAATTAATTCTCTTTTCCTCAGTAATTTTACTCTACACACTTACTGTAAAATAATATTTCCCTCCTATTTTTATAAGAATTGAATATGCTGGGCCAAGTTTTGTGGTAAAGGAGCCCGCTACCAAGGTTAAGGACTTAAAATCAATTGCATTGTGGAAGAGCCAATGCTGCTGAAAAACCTGTTTTGTAATCAGTGTTAATATGACTTGTGCCTGGCTAAAGCTGGGAACAGTCCATGAAATAGTGTGTCACTTTAATGACATTGGGTAGTGTGCAACTAGGAAGTAGTATCCTGTAGTCTTCTGTTCTTTCAGGGTTAATATTACCATACAGTAAAATATTCAAATATTTAGATCTATGGAGGAGGAGCTATCCTTAACCCAATAACCTAGGCCTCCAGAAATCTCTCAGCTGTTAACAAGTGAATGGGAGTTAATTGCTAAAACAGGTAGCTAGAGCCAACTTTCAAAAAACTGTTATCTGGTTTCTCTCTCTCTCTCTCTCTCTCTCTCTCTCTCTCTCTAAATAAGTAAAACACAAAAACTTAAAAAGAATAAAGTGTATGCACTCTCTGATAGCAGAGCAAATGTGATGTGATTGTTGGCTTTTATTATTAACATTCATAAATGACTCTGGGGAAATGTTTAGTAATCATGAAAAGGATGCTTGGAAGATGGGCTATTATTACCAAAACATAAGAAACCTCATAAAATGTAAGCCTGTGCACCCTGCTGGGTGGTTTTTTTTTTTTTTTTTTTTTTTTGGTCAGATCCAAAAGAAACTCAAATGGCTAATTGTGATGTCTATTAGCATACCGAAGTGTCTGCTTGTCCTCCAGGCTTACTCAGTGACTGTGGCTCCTCTGAGCTCTTCAACTTTCTACCCCTACCCCAACCTCTCCAACCTATAGGTTTCCCTTTCCTTCCTCCAGTTTCTGATTCCTATATAACCCAACCAAGTATGCCATGCTATCTAATCTCTTAGTTCTCTTGGCTCTTAGCCCTCTCTTGCTCATCTGTCTTTCTCTATCACTCTCCCCAGCCCCCTCCTGTCATGGCCTAGTTCAGTCTACTGGTCATGTTCAGTCTGCTGCTTTCTCTCCATGCTCTGGGCTCTTCCAGTTGTCTGGCTGTAGTCTCTCTCATATCTAGAATAAAAACATTTTCCTCAACCACACCTTGGAGTGGCATTGCCCTCATTTCATTCCATTTTCTCACAGGGAATCTTAAAATCCTTCCTAAGAATCAGAATGCTCTTCATGGTAGTGTATTTTCAGTGAAACTTCTACCTATGTTTGTTTCAAGTTAGTTGTTGTTAGAGTCCGAGAGAAGACCCCCAAAAGACCAACAGTCACATATGTAATAAACAAGAATGCTTTATTCTAACATGGGTGGCACATGGCAAATACCCAAAGAAGGTCAAAAGCTCCTTTTAATCAGAGTTAGGGAAATTCCAGGGAGCAGGGATTAATCTGGGGCTGATTGGTGGAGGAAAGATTAGTCTGGAGCTGATTGGTGGTAGCTGATTTTGGGGGATGCCTAGTGGTTAGGGATTTTTTCAGTGGCAAGGTAGGGAAAGCTATCTGTAGTTACAAGGAGACTGTGGTCATCTTCTGAATCAGCAGAAGGTCAAGGGGTGACTGTTGATTGGTTGCCCCTGAGCTGTAGTTCTACCTGAGAACTGTTTGCTCAGCTCCAGCCACCTCCAGTAAACTGAAACTAAGGCCTGGTCTCTGGCAGGGCCCATTAGAAACCTGTCATGGCTCTGGTCTGGCTCCCTGGCCCTGTTGTTACCTTACAGTTGTTACCTTACATTTTTGAAGAGGATTAACACACTTTCCCTATCCACACAATGAGACTTCCAGAGAGGTGGGTGGGAACTGGCTTTTAATAACTGTTGCTAAAAAAACAAGTAAAGAGCTGGCCAAAGCAAGTGTGGGAATAGCAGGGTGAGTTGCTTGAATTGTCTCCACAATTAGAATCCCCAGAGGGCAGGTTATGGTAGCAGAAGGCCAGCTTTTCCCCTAGAAGTCTGAGACTTCCATACCCCAAGGAGGCAGGGCGGAGTGGGCCACTGTGATGCTGAAATGAGGTCAGTTTCAACTGACCAGCTATGAACTTAACACACACATTGCCATTACACTAATTATAAATCTTGGGCATTAGTACATAGACTCAGTTGTGTGTGTGTGTGTGTGTGTGTGTGTGTGTGTGTGTGTGATGGGGGGTGTGGGTGTAAGTATCTGTGCTGATCATCTTCACTTCCACGGCATTTCTTTGAGACAGGGTCGGTCTCTCCTGGCATGGTGGGACATGCACTCTAGAACCAGTAGCAGGTGGGTCTCTGTGAGTATGAGGGCATCCTGATCTACAGAGTGAGTTCCAGGCCCAGTTCCAGACGAGCTAGGAATACATGGTGAGACCCTGTTAGAATAAATGTAGGAAAGAAAGAAAAAAGTTAAGAAAATGCAGGGTCTCCTTCTCTGAGGGAAAGCTCACCATTTTTACTAGGTTGGCTGGCCAGTGTAGTGGCATCTAGCCTTGCCAGTGTATTTGTGTTAGTGGCCACACCCATTTGGGCGTGGCTTCAGGTTCCTAGTGACTAGGAGGTGGAGAAGCATGGAACAGGCTCTCTCTCTCTCTCTCTCTCTCTCTCTCTCTCTCTCTCTCGGATCGGGAGGGCAGAGGCTGCATCCTCTGGAGCAGAAACGCCATGACAGTTCTTTACTATTATCTATGTAAGTTGTTCCCCAATAAACACCCATATATCTCTTATCCTGGGTCTAGTGAACTCATTAACACCCTGCCTTCAGGCCAGTGAACTCCTAGGGTCCACCCGACTCTGCCTTTCAATGCTTGGAATGTGCACCTATGCCCTGCTCTTTACATGGGTGCTGGCATCTTGAACTCAGGCCCTCATGTTTGCAGAGCAAATGTTCTTACTCACCGAGGTGTCCTCTCAGCCCTTGTGACTCAGTTTTTAATAATATACCTATCTCAGCTGTCTAGAGAATTCAGTCAGGACAGCAGAGCACTTAAACAATCATGATAAACACATCCCTCTACCCAGCCCCCAGTGGCAGGACAATGCACATTTCTCTCTATGTGGTTTGCTTCTTTCCATCTAACATCACATTTTGATGATAATTCCACATCTGTTCCTATAGAATTGCTCTGATCTCTGTACAATTCCATTGTATGGGATTAGATGCACTATTGTTAGACATACAAGCTCTTCCAAAGCTTTTGCTATCACCAAAGATTTTAGCAATGACTACACTTCTAATACTTCACCAGACTCATATGCCTGAATATGCCTAGGAGAGGCTCCTGTAAATAAGTTGTTGAGCTAAAGGGTGTGGCCATTTCAGTGCTTCATAGATATTGCCCAGACTCAAGGATGTTTTTCTACCTTTTACTCCCAAGAGAAGTGCACAAGGGGCTCCCTTTCCCTACACCTTGACTAACATGGGTCAGTGCTAAATGTTCTGGATGTAGCAGATGCAGTTTTTATCACAGGACAATAAAGGGACAACTAAGCTACATGATGTAGTTAATTCTTGAAGGGCATTGAGGAAATAACTCTACCTCTTAAAGGACAAGTGATACCTGATACCTATGTAAATGGAGACAACCATAGTAAACACATCTGAAAATAAGCAATCAAAACTGCTTGCTCATGTTCCAATTGTCTGTATACTCTCATCAGGTTCCAAGCTCTGTGGAAGACATCTGGGTGTTTGTCTTGTTTTTTGGCTCTACCTCCAGCTCCCAGAGCAATGGCTGACACATAGTAGGTGCTCAATAAGTAAGTTAGGCGTTGGGTAGATGCGTTGAACTGTACTTCCCTTTGTTGTCCAGATTGATTGGAGGCGGTATGCTGATGCAACATTGGTAGCTGGCATCTGTAAGGTTTTTCATCTCCTGAGCAGACAAGAATAAATTGCCCTGAATACAAAATCTAGGAATAGATTCATCATGTTTACTAAATGGAAAAACATTTCTTGTAGTACCAGAAATAACTTTCCCACAGCTTTGTGCTACATCAAAATATTGAAGCTGATTGAAAATTTCCAATTCTCTACTATTGCTATGGCCTAGAAACCAATTTTTATATTATAACAAAGAAAAGTAGTATAAAAAACTCCTGATATTTGAATTCTCCCAGGTGTATTAAAATTTTAAATATTATTATAAAATTTAGATAGACTTTCTTTCTTCCTTTTTTTTTTGAGACAAGATTTCTCTGTGTAACTGCTCTGGCTGTCCTGTAACTCACACTGTAGACCGGACTGGCCTCAAACTCACAGAAATCCACCTGCCTCTGCCTCCTGAGTACTGGGATTAAAGGTGTGCACCACCACCGCCTGGCTAGACAGGTTTTGAGTTATTAATCTAGCACCTGAGTATAATCAAGGACTGAAGAATCTCCCGTACCCCCCAAGTGCCATAGTTTACTGGTGAATCCTAGGAAATGAGCCCATCTTTAAATCTTTGTGTAAACCCCTTGTAAAATTGTAAGTGAAGGGAAAATGTATTTATCAAAAGTGATTTTTAGTGATTTTGGAGAGCATGTAAAAGAATAGGGATTTAAATTTTAAGCTACACCTGCAGAATACTGATCATAAAATTCTTCTAGGGGGAGGGGAGGGAAAGGGAACTGGGATTGACATGTAAAACAATCTTGTTTCTAATTTAAATAAAAAAATGGAGAAAAAAAATTTCTAATCCTTGGTTTATCCTCAGTCTTCCCAGATTTGCTCCAAGCCATCCCAGTGAGCATCCATGTCAATATCATTCTATTCTCCATGATTCTTGTCGTCTTAACCATGGTGGGGACAGCCTTCTTCATGTACAATGCTTTTGGCAAGCCCTTTGAAACTCTACATGGCCCACTAGGGCTCTATCTCGTGAGCTTCATTTCAGGCAAGTATAAAATTCTATCACAAATGACAAAGTGCTTTTCAACATGTCAAAAGATGCTCAGCCTAAATGTAGTTATGCCATGCATGCGGTAATACTCCTGTAGCATTATACATGACAGCAAGTAAGGAAGAAATACTATAATTATCTAACAATATGGAATTCATTGTGTACATTACAGTAGTCTCTATGAATGAATATAATCTTCACATTATAATTTTGAAGATGTAATCAGAAGGATAAATGTTTGTATCAAAATGAAAACAGCAGTAAGATTTTACAAATATTATGAACCTGTTGAACTATAAATGCAGAAAATGTACACATAATATATTGATGGAATTGCTTATATAGACATATGCTTTTCTCACATACACACCAATATAGAGGCTATGTTTATATATGAGAGATGGGTGGGGTTACTTAGTTAGTTGTGTTTATCTCCATGGATGGTCTTATTTTTCCTCATGGTTATCAATATTTCTTTCTTTCTTTCTTTCTTTCTTTCTTTCTTTCTTCCTTCCTTCCTTCCTTCCTTTCTTTCTTCCTTCTTCTTTTTTTTTGGGGGGGCAGTTTAAGACAGGGTTTCTCTGTGCAACAGTTCTGACTGTCCTAGAACTTGCTTTGTAGACCAGACTGGCCTCTAACTCAGTGAGATCTGCCTGCCTCTGCCTCCCAAATGCTGGGATTAAAGACATATGCCACCACTGCCTGGCCCTATTATCAATATTTCTAAATGTTCACTAGTGTGCATTTATTTATTCATAATCAGAAAAATAAGGAATTTTCATCATGAAAGTGATAAAGGCAACCATAGATGAATGAATAACCATACTCAGGACTGTCAGTACTTCATGTAGACTAACCCACTTCATAACTGGGTTAATGAAAAAGATGTAAAATCTAGTCAGTACCACAAGGTACCTATAATATATTTTTTGAAGGTGGAAAAAAAGATGAGAAAATGAAATCTATTTACATAATTCATGTGTGACTATCTTTCCATAGTGAGTCTCTGATTTTACACCATTCCAAACTTACAGATCAGTTTAACATTCTATTATGTTCTATTGATGATTTCTGGGAGATAACAGCTCATGCCAGCCAAAAATATAATGAAAGTCCCTGCTGGACAATTTCTTTCTCCTTTGAAGTTGCCCTTGGCAGCTAGCTCTGAGGCAGTCAGCACAGACTCATTCCTCTTGACACGATTGTCTTCTCCCATACAAGCCAACTCCAGCACCAACTTGTACTGGTGACTGCCTAAAAACAGAGTCCTGTAGTCAACAGTGCTAGTGGATTTCAGAAGGCAGTTTACTC